TTGAAATGTAAACTACAGTTGCTGAGAAGCCTTAGGAACGGGAATTGAAGAATAATTGTTTTCAAGAAAATTTACTTTAAAATCTTTAGGACCCCTAAAAATAAGGTTGATATATCTACTCCCTGATGCATTTTATGGTAGATACCATTGTAAATTGTACCTTGTTATAATGTTTCTTAAAATCAATGATAAGATCATTGTCTTTGCCTTTGAACAGCTACTGAAGGGCATAGTCTGAAAGTGTGGCAGTAAGATGACTGAAACTTTCCAGTTCAGTCGTGGGTCTTTATTATCTGGGATTCACCCAAAAAGAATAAATTTATATAAACTTTTCTCTATTGAAGGTGCCAATGGCCCTGAGAGGCTATTCCTGCTTAGAAACTCATATCCCTGAGTTTACTTGCTGTTTGAGAGTGAGCTCGAGGAGTTTCCAGTTGACCATCTCCACCAACTTTCTTTCTATAGTGCTAAAGTGTCATGAGGTCGTGGGTGTGTTGGCTATTTTGCGTTTATTCTCTAGCCTTTATAGCAGATTTTAGGTTTGGTGATACAAACGTTTGCACGCTTGTGGGTTTGGGTTTTTTTGTGAACACTCCAGACCAAAAACACAGACATGAGCAACAGTAGACTGCAGTGCATCATAATGTAAAGAGCACGAATTATTAAGTCATTTGTCAGGGGTCAAAATCAAATTCTGTTTGTACATTAACTCCTGGTTTTTATTGTGAAGTATGTCTTATTTGTTGCATTCCTGTCCTTCTAGAAAAGGTATTTATTCTGTATAATGAGACATGAAAGACTAGTTAGTAGTGTTTACTCCAAGTGTAGCAATCTGTGACATTTTTTATAAAAACTTATGACAGTACTATGACATACTGTTTTTTGAAAATGAAGTGACTTAAAAGCGCAAGTCTCAGTGCTTTGGAAAATTCACTGTTTTTTATTTTTACAGAAGAAGTTTGCTCTGTTTCCTTTATTTAGGGACCAGCTGCCACTGTAGGTATAGCCTACCTACAGGTAAAACGTACCTATAAAGCAGGAAGACAGCAATCTGGACATGTGGAATTTATGAATTTGTATTTGAGCAGAGAATTTACTAAAAAAGTTTAGTTAAAAAAAAAAAGCTAAATGAGAACATTTGTTAGACAATTTTAATTAGAAGAATAAAATAGTGACAGTATTTAGTTGCTTTGTCAGCGACACAAGATCAGAAGTTTGATTGATTTCACTCTTTTCCTGATTTCATATAATACTCAGCTTGAACACATACAACTCAAATATCCTATCACATTTTCACCAGACAAAGAATTCTGTAACTTGAACCAGTACAGATGTTCTTGATGCCCAATGAGAAAGGAGGTAGTCTTATGCTCTTGCCTCAGGACTGCCTTCATCAGTGTCTACCAGAATTATTCCTGTGAGAAGAGAATACAAGGAAGTGTAAACTCACACCCTGGTATATGGTACTTCCTTTTGCACGCAAGTGCTGGGACAGATAGCTTAAACTCTAAACCAGAAGTCCTGTTGTAAAGCTCTTGCTTCAAAGTAGGTGCCTGCCATTGTTAAGGGATCACACCTGCAACAAAAAGCCTTTGGTCTGTGTTCAGTGTCCTGCAGTAGGTTTGTGTTTTGCAGGAAGACAATTTAGAATATCTTAGAATAACAGATCTTGCATATTTTTTGAAAGCAAAATCAGAGGCATAATCTCATTCTGAAAATTGTTAGTATTAAAAATTCAAATTGTACTGGTGGCAAGCCTTATAAAATCAGATGACTGGTTATTTTGAGCTAGTGTTGTTTATCTGGATGTAGATTTAAATGAGAAGAAAATGCAAGTACTTGATATTTAGAATTATGATTTGCTTATTTGTATGATTATGATTCTGTATGTTTTCCAAGCAGGACAGGAGCTAATTTAATAACAATTTTATGAAAGTCTAAAAAGAACCAAACTACGTTTGATTTAGAATATGACCAGTCTGTGATATAAATTCTGTAGCTAAACTCCTCTTTCACCTGCTTTAAGACATTTCATTTGTAAAACTATGTAGGATAGTAATGAAGAATGTGATAAAGTCACTCTCTGTCATGCACGTATATGCAAAGTTGGGATAAATCTGATTTAAGCTTTGTCTTCATACATTGCTTGGTGTGACTTTGTGCTTTAGCTAAGTTAAGTGTATAATTTTCTTTAAAGGCTGCAGCTGATTCTTGTTTGAATCATGAAGGTTTGCAGGTAACCTTGAAGAATAGCTGTATTGACTATAGTTTCATCTTACCTTATCTCAGCACAAAGTACAGCTGACTTTGTAACTTGTAACAATCGGGACTACTTATAGGTTTTGAAACCAATTGTTCCATAATTTACTCTTTACCACACAAGAGTTTTCCTAGATTTTGCCTAAACTAGGATTGCTTAGCTATTCTTGGTATTTGATTGTATTTTACTGCCAGTTTGTTCTCAGTTTAAATGCTGCTTACATAGCAAAGTCAGCAGCTTTTGCTGGGCTAAGTAATTCCAATACACCCTAAGCATAAGAAGGTTTGTGCTGGTAAAACTTAATTTTGTCAATATGACTGCTGTTAAGGTAGTTGCTCTTTTTGGGAGTCTGTGGTATTTAAATCACCTTTTTTACATCTGGGATTGTTATAACCACATCAGCAAAATTCTGTTTTACAGGCATGGTCTAAGCTTTTAATTTAACTAGCAGATTTGGCCCTGGAAAATGAACCTCAAATATAATAACTCTTCCTAGCTGCAATCCTAGGACTCTCTTATGACCTGGCTGTGTCCAAGGTGCCATAACTGTCTGTTGAAGGGTTGTTCAGTGGCACAGAGGAGAATAGCTTTCAGGTTCTCCTGACCTGCGTAGGGAACTTGTTGGGAATTCTCTTCCTTATAGATATGTTTTCCATCAGCTAAATAAGAACAGAAATTGTCTTTAAATTCAAGCTTCTTAACTTAGGAATAATGAGTTTCTTTCCTTATATGAACTCTTCTTTCTCTCTCAGAATATGTTATGTTTTCTGTTAGGTATAACATGTGCTTTTACACATTTCTATGCAAGAAAAATTGAACACATTTGGTTGAACAAGGCTGTTACTTAGCTACTTATACATGTTCATATAGGTGCATGCAATTATATTGTTTTTGTTATGTTTTGACCAATTTAGTGAATGTTTTTTACTTGTCTCTAGGTCCGCATGCCAGTGCTGTATACAATGTAATAAATCTTTTTATGCTAAGCCCCTACTCCCACCCCAACTTCATATAGGTTCTATATGGTCATCATTATTACATTTAGGTGAATGTAAGGAGCAGAGAGATGGGGAAACAATATGAAATAGGAAACTATTTATATGTGATGTATATAACTGACTTCTAGGTAATTCTCAGTTGTTCATAGATGTGGTTGTTCTGTTAGCATGCCTTTCATTCCTAATTACCTTATTGTATTTCCTTTACATAGCATGATTTTAGCAAATATGAACAGTCAGGGCTCTGATGGGTGACATTAATCTAAATGAAGCGTTTTATGATTTTATGACCCTTGGATATTTGTTCTAGCCCCCTTTCAATTTTCTCATGAAGTTGGTAGGAGACTGTGCAATTCCTTTTAGTTGCTTCAGTTCCCAGTCTAGTGATTTTTTTGCTTACACTGTCCCTAAAAATAATACTTTCTAGTCTTTCTTACTGGACATGAATAAAAACTCTTAAATGGAAGCATGTAATTTTAGGAACATATGTTCTTTTTAACAAACAGTTTACCAAACAGGATTAATCTGATCATTGTTATATCAGAAGCCACTATAAGGTGTTACACAGTATATCTTCAAACATTAAATTAAATTATTATTTTAGTCAAATAGAACTCCTGTTTGTTCATAGAGAAATATATAACTTTACGTTTTTAACCACTGTACTACTTACAATTTTGTAGTATGTTCTGTGCTGAGTTCCCTGAATCAGTGTGCAAAAGCATCTGCCTCATGTTGAGCATACAGTCATAGTGGGCATCCTCATCACTTTCAGATGTGCTCTCTGTGCTTGAGTTCTGCATTTGTTACATGGACTGCATAATACATTCTTGTCTTAGGGCTGTATCACAAGGCTAAAACCTACCTACTCTTTATAAAGCATTTCAGTAATGTTAGGAAGACACAAGAGAAAAACCTTTGAAACAGTTTGGTGTTCTCAGTCATGTTTAGTGAATAGGTGTCTAGTACAGTGTGTAAGGAAAAAGGAGAATCATTCTATGAATTAGTATAATATGGGAAAAAGTATGTAATCATTAATTCATAACGATGATGATCATATGTTGTAGTGTTTGAGAAATGTGCTGCACTAATAAATAAAAGTGGTTTGGGTTGTAAGAATAGAAAAGACTGCACTAATGTAAAGTATTACTGGTTTTTGAGAATGTTCTTCTTACAAATATGTATATATATATGCTGATTTGTATCTGATTTTGAAATTAGGGAGAATACAGCTGAATTATTTTTGGACGACCACTCAGTGTTGTCAAGAGAAGTAGCTGATGAATGTGTCATATTAACACGTTAAACCCAAGAAATTAGTTAATGTAGCATGCTTTAAAAAAAACACAGCATATTTCTAATTTTACTATGTATGCTGAGTCTATTATTTAAAATTATTTAATGGTGCATGCTGACTGTTTCATAATATATATAGTATTATATTTCTGCATTTGATTAATTTCTGCCATTTAAAAACATTAATTTAATTACTGTTCTGCTCACTTGAATCACATCAATGAAGCAGACCTAGAAGTAATTTCCAAAGCAGTATAACATTGGTGTTTCTATTTAATAGCTGAAGTGGAGCTCATTTTTGTTGAGAGCTAATCAAAGGCTGAGGTTCTGAGTCATGGATTGTGGAAATAACTATTCTAATACTCTGATCCTTTTGTGAGTTTAGTGTGTTAAATAAGAATGCACTTCCTCTCTTCTTAAATAAATCTTATATTATGTTTTTACAGCCTAGTGGAAGAAATCCACCTTTTCCCAGTTCTTTTCCAAGTCATCTTGGTAAGAATAATTTTTTATATATATATATATATGCACTAATAGATAGGTATTATATATCCCAAATTATGTCAAACTAGTAAGCAAGTTTAATAAGCTGTGTTGATTAAAATAATAAGGTACTGATAAAACAAAATTGAACAGTCTATCAATACAGAAGAATCTACTGTAAGCAGATGTATCTCTAGTTCTCATCAACTATTCACTATATAAAAAATTTTCTTTTTAAGATATATACTTTTTTTTCCTCTTTTGAACCAAAGAAAAATCTGAAAAATAGAATTAATGAGCTCGGTTCTTAATTAGAACTATATATTTGCCCAACCTGAACAACAGATGCTGAGGAACTTGCACTTTAACACAAATTTGCATGAAACCCAAGTTGACTATGATAATGCCAATTCCCACTACTTGCTTTTAGAATTTCCTTCAATATAAAGTATCAAGGGTATGATTTTGGATAGTCACTTGCTGAATTTCCCTCCCAAAGTAGGATCTGCCGTTTATGAAGACTGTGGAAAAATGGTGATGGTTTTGTGTCTCTGAAATGTTGCAAAGAGTGTATGTTAAAAAAGAAGAAAAATCTGTAGGCTAGATTGGAAGATGGTTATTGTGCTATCCACTAGCCTTCTCATGGTTAAATTCTATAATCTCTTCTTTATTTTTCAATCTTTTTGCTCATGAAGTTGTATCAGGTAAGTGTCCCGTCGTGTAAACATGTTCCTGATGAATACTAAGTACACATTATAGATAAATATACATAATTTATGCAGTGCAGGTGGATTGCATGCTTATTTTTGTATCATTCTTGAAATTCAAACTTACTCAAGGTAGAAGTTCATAAATCTGATTCTGAATCAACTTTGATTTTCCTTTCCTAGATATAAATATTTTAATCTTCTTTCTTCCTTTGCAGTGATTTATTTTATTGACTATCATTTTAAATCTCTTTAATACCACATACCCAGATAAGCTCTCTTTAGTGAGGATAGGTTTTTCCAGTACCATAGAGAACACTGGCTTTATGATATTTTGTGTACATATGCATACAAATGTCTTCTTGTGGGAAGTATTAACAATAAAAAGAACATTTTACAGTGTTTCTTAAATAGTTTTCATCTAGTATAAGTACTGCTTTTAGGTAGTAACAAAGAAGGAACACAGTAAAATGTGAAAGTGAAATGTTTCATGTTAATATCCTCAATACTAAATTAATGTTTGAAACTTCTCAAGGTGTTGGAATCTTGAAATTTAACTGCCTATACACACACACAAGTAACATATGTATGTATGTTAGTATATAGCTGTAAGTATATGAGCATAGTTAAGATGTCTAGGAATACTCCCAGATCTTGAGAAACTTTCTGTAATGTATCTGTAGTAATGGTAGTTAAAATGTTTTTGTGTCTTGCCATGTAAGTAGGATAAGTTGGAGTCAGTTGCAAATTCGACCTCGTCATGTCACTGCACACGGTTTGACCTCGTGAGTTCTAGAAACAGTTTTTTAGAAAGTAAAAACAGCTAAGCTCACAATTGTCTTCATGACTGGAGGTCTGTGAAGGTTTCATAGCTCTCTTAATCCTCTGTAGCCATCTTGTAGCTAATGGTTAGATTTGTGAGGGGAAAAAGCTTACAGCTTCTAGGAAGGAAAAACAAAATCCCCTTCCAATGTGTTTTGTTCGGGAGGACACCTATAGTGGCTTCAGTTGCCGTATATAGCAGTCAAGTTTAACAGTACAGTGGCTGTCAACTGTGTTCTTCGTTGGCTCCAGGGATGCGAGACCCTAAACTGGTTGCTGCCCTCCATGCTATTACCCTGTTTTCTCTACAGAAGAGTGAATTCAGCGAAGGAATCTTAGGCAACTGGGAAAGCTCAGGAGCCAGGACTAATCAGACTGGAAGGGTTAACTGTTAGGCTGGTTTTCCTTATCAACAGAAGAAATTAGCAAACTCCTCCTTATAGGTTTCTGAAATAATTTTTGTGGCTTTATGTGTGAAGGGAGTTGCATGTCATTTGCTTCCCATTACTGTCCATAAAGTAGTCTTTGGCTAGGTTTATATACTGGTTTCAAGAAATAGCGCAGATCAATAACATCAAGTCCTGTGTTGTTCTATCTAGAATTTTATCAGACCTTAAACTATTGAATTTGAGTTGTCCTTCAGTCAATTCACTGTTAGATACTGTCAGTAAGTTGATGTAGAGCTATTACTATCCAGTTCAAGGAATATCACTAGTACTCCATAATTTTCTGTGCTGAGACCGAATGTCTAATGTATTTATTATGTATCATTAAATGTAGTTCATGTGATTTCCAGTGATGTCACTGACAGGACATTAATTCTTTTAGGCTCTAAAGGGAAATAATTAGGGCACAGAATTGGAAAGTATCTCCAGGAGCAGTCTTTATTTCTAGACTGCACTACCATCAAACTGGGATTGAATGTACTAGCTTTAATCTAGCTATCACAGCAGTGAGGACATGATGACTTGCAGATACTGGGCAATTCACAAGAAACAGGTTTTAATGTGACTGCTTCTCACTTTTCATTGATGCAGAGTTGAAGTACCTCATCTAATGCATACTGTCCTATGTTGTGGTCTAAGTCATAATACTGAAATTTAGCAATTTCTAACCCTCTGTCATGTATTTGGACCAGTTAGAACTCTGAACTCTGCTGAATCATACCAAATGCATCCTTTTGTGTCATTTATGACCATGATTCTGTAAATGTTATAGTTGCCAAACAAAAGGAACTGAATCAGTGAAAAAGGCTGTTACTCTCTACCTGAAAACTTGTTCAAAGAGAATAGCCAGTAGTTTTATTCACCTGAGCTAGGTTTTAGTTACTGATCTTACTAGTAAGAGGCTTTAAATACAATTACTGTTCCCCTGGAAAGCCTCAACACTCGTTTATCACTGAACACTTAGTTACATTTAGGAAATGCAGATTAATAGTGTACTTTGTGAACACGTGAAAGCCCTGGATACAGTTCTTCGTTGCAAAACTTCAGAGGGGAATTTCACGTTACATCTGAATACAAATTATTTTCATAGGTACCCTGATGTCAGATCCTTATGCTAGCGGTTACATAGATTATGAGTAGTTCTGCAAACCAATATGAAGGTATAACGGCAGTTAAGAGTAGGAATTTATTTTGCTAAAATGTCTAATGAAATCAGTGACGATGTAGTGATGTGTATCTGTGGAGAAAGGGAGATGCATTGACAATACATGAGTATATTCAGCACAGTAAGTGACTGAAAAACAGGAGGAAAGCTGGCACCAGAATGTGCAAAATTTAAAAGGTACGCACTCCCCTTGGTAATGAGATTAAAAATGAGCCAAATTCCATGATGACATAAATGACGTAAAAGTTTGGGTTGATGTAAGGTGTAAATATGAAATGCTGCTGTTGATGAAGTTGAAGGATTGTAGCAGGAAAAGTTACTGTGGGATATGTTTCATGTTTTACTTTCTTGCTGACTTTTTCTGTTACATCCTTAGCATTCTGTTTTTAATATATTTTACTGTGTCACACCTGTGATCTATCTGAAAATTAGTATATAATATAAAAAATATTCTTTTTGAATATTATGTTATAATACTGGAGTGAGGTTGATAAAGGAAATGGAAGGAGTTTACTCCTATATTTAAAAATTATGTCCATTTGTTTTTAGATTGCTACCAAGATTTTGCTGTGTAGCTAGCAATGAAGTTGGCATACGTTATTTTCTGTGCTATGTTACTTTTTAGAGGTGTTAGGACAGGGATCCTCCATGCATCATAAATATCACATGGCCTTCCTATAGGGTTATCTGAATCCAAGCCAATGCATAGTGAAGAAGTTGTGTAGTTGGTGAAATTCCATTCTTCTGCTGATAAGTATTAAAACTGAAGCTAATGATGCTTGTGATTAGGAGCTCAGTGCTATCCTCTTCTTAAAGTTCAGTAGTCAATTATGTGCTTATCCTATTAAAATCTGTAGTGTAACTTTTAATCACACCAGCATCTCAAATTTCAGTTTTTGCTGTCAAATGTTTTTTTGCAACATTCTATGTTTTAAGTTGGTGATCATATGAAAAATGTGGCAACAAGGATTTAAAAGCATGTCCTTTTAATAAAAATCACTTTGTAGTAAGATTGAACATTATTGTATTTAGAAATGATATCTTATTGTTAAATACCATCAACCAATGGTAGATAGTGTCTTAGTGTCTAAACTGTACAATCTAATTTAAAGGTAAAAATATAATGATTGTTGTATTTATACTGTTAATCTATCTTTAACAGAAACAAGTCCACATCTTCACATTTTTTTTAAAATAGTTAAAATTAATTTCAAAATTACAATTTTTAGTTTATTTTCCTTTAAATACAGTTTAAAGCTGTTGTTATGAAAATACAAAATATATTTCTTTTTGTAGTCATATTCACATATATTTTTATATTTTTCCTAGTTGTGTCTGTCTTTGAGGTTTTATACTGTCCCTGTGTATTTTAGGACGGCTATATGGGTCCATTTTTAGAATTTTAATTACAGAATTGCACAACTTAAGCTAAAGGATTGTATATACTGTTCATGGTTTTAATAAACTGCAGTAAACCTGTGCTTGAATGCTTTAAAAATGCTTCAAAATCATTGTCAAGCTGGCAGACGCTGATCTTCTTGGAAGCTGTTGTAATTGCAGTTGAAAATGAAGTTCATTATACCATTGAGCACTAAGAAAGAGAATTGCAACAGTTACATCTAAATTAAATATACTCATACTTTAAAAGAAGAAACAAACCGCTCCAGTTTTATTTGGATAACACCTTTTCAAGAAAGCTAAACATTTTGTGGATATTTTGTCTAAATAGGGAACGCATAGCCATGTATAACTAAATTGCTTTAGTTTTTTTAAAAAACTAAAAATAATTTTAACCAAAGCTCTTCAATAAAAAAAAAAAAAAAAAGATGTGGGAAAGAAGTTGAATAGCAGCAAAGTGGAATCTGTGGTTGG